TGGATTTCAACCCCTCTCAAGTGCACATATTTGGGGCGAAATGAAGATGCTAGTTTTAGATTACACTGGGGGCAGTAGCACTATCAAATGGTGTATGAAATTTGACCACTTGTCCCTCCTGGTAGTATGATGTAACAGATAATTAACTCAAGCGGGATCGACCATCATCCACAAAGGTCACGCGCTCGGTTGAGGTTTATGTTTCCCAACAACGTCACGAATTCAGACACATATTATATCAGTGAAATCAACACTCCCCTCCCAACTGAATGCAATAATCTTGGTTGCTGGCTCAGTGAAGCAAACATTTAAGGTGGTTACTTCACTCCTCTTATTAGTTCTAATTGACAATGTTTAGCGCCACCGTTCACAATCTTCCATAATGAAGGCCCGAAGGCTGCTACCATGATAGCATTGTCATTGTCCTCACAGATACAGGTTAATAGGCTTATCGAGGTCTATACACAAGTTGCAGACGACCTCAATACATGCATGCCTGCGGCAAACAGAATTTGGTGGTTTCCGACAAATATATTTCTGAAGCAAGGTTTATGCTGATCTGTACCTTGAATCTTCGTTACGTGTCATTAGACAGCTCAGCTTTTTCTACCCAAACACATTAGGTTCGTTGTAATATTACTGTATCATTTTGCTGATGCCACAAGTCCCCATCAGAACTGCATTTACGAATCGATTGGTGAGTGGTATCTGATGGATTTTCTACAGTAGTTCATCTCCAAAACTTTACGCCTGATACGGATCTGTTATGCACTCTTACACCCATTCCTCTATAGTGCTTACGTAATCCTCAATGGGACGACTGTTTGTTTGGCCGTGAGTGATGACAATGGCAACTCATGGCGTGTAACTTTTACAACGCTAGCTGAAATGCTTATAATAATAATAAAACGTATATTTCTCTTGATGCGAGAAACTGTGTCTATAGCGGCACAGATCAATTTGTGCAGAAGTATCCATGCTCTTACATGGGTGACATGCATAGGTGGAACATTGGGGTATGTGTTTCATGTAGTAATGTTCTCTCGATGGTTGAGACCAAAGTCTAGTTTTGAAAACATTGGTGTTTAAATGTTTTTGGGCCCATCTTGGAATAGCTCACTGAGGGAGTTTCCCATATTAACATAGAGATTATGGTATTTATGTAGAGGTAACAGGAGAGTCTGCTTGCATGCCACTGTACATCCAAACGGCCAAACAATTTTGCTTCGCATTCACCCTTTGAATCAGCATGCGTTTGCTTCGATTGTCTTTGACCGTCGGTTGTCTCATAAGGCAGCTGGCCGGAAACTTGTGAACATACCCAGTAGGCATCACTCAGACTTTTCCGCCTCAATTAATTTTGCGGCCCAATGTTCTCTATCAGTTAATAAAGGGAATTGACGGAAGCGTGAAAGGGTGGTTAGCTTTACATGGCATATTGAGCTGAAATGGAGAGTGTATCACCTATACCTTCACATGCAGGCCGAATGAAATTCAGTGCCTGGACACACCAGATAACACTAACCTGTAAATTCGGTATTAGAGATGGTTCGATGTCTCTCCTTTTCAGCCGCTTGGTCGGGGAGCGCTGTAGGTTACAGCCTCAGGTAGATTACCGTAGAACATGTGTGACAACTGAAGTACATATTTTTTATTCCCAGGGATGCCACACTTTAACTTGAAACTAGTAGCCTCTACTATGCGGGTGCCGAACACGTAATGTCGTCGAAAACATATAAACTGAACACCTCTCTGGAAACTGTGGAACCACACCTTCGAGCTACACATGCTTCATATTGACTAGAAGTTCAAGTTTTAGCTAAAACATTGAGGTGGAGACGACCAAAACATTTCATCTTTTGTTATGGTCGTAAAGAGATTCCATCACTAGCGTTTCCGGTTTTTCCTTTGTCTCATCATTCACAAATATCTTCTCATTCAGATACCCGGTAGGATACACCCAACTTCGTCTCTCATGCTGTCGTTTACACTATACCATTTCCCGGCCAAGTTGTCCTCTTGGGCAACAGAAATAATCTGAGAGGGCATTCAACATGAGTCTACTCATATTTCAGTGGCCATGCCAGGTGTCAACTCGTCCTATTGCTCTATCATCGCCTAATACGAAGTACATCCATTCGGCCGTGCATGTGCTCCCCGGTCGCCATATGGAATTCGAATGAGTTGGTGTGACAAAACTGTCCACAACCAACTGGACGAGGCAAGTTACGGACTTTGGTATCCGATGACAACAACCTGCGTTATGCACAGGAAACACTGATAAGTGTCGCGAAATCCTGTGATATGTTGCAAGGGTATTGTGTGACTGACGTAACACGGAAACAGCAAATTCCTCATCCTTGCTACTTGGAGATGTCTGTATTTTTGGATGCGTCCTCTTGTTACAACGCGATGGCACAGTATCACCATCCTACTAGGTGGTTGTCCAACCGCCTACGAAATATCTCTTTCGCCTTTCAGCCGTCTCGGTTTATTGCGACCCACGACACGAAAGCCATCGGAACCCTCGACCGGACGCACACTACAGCCCCTACTTACACGGAAATGGTTAATATCGGCATGAGCATATCGGGGCACAGTGGTTGTTTGTGTTTGTGCACTTGGTTCGTGATTTCCAGTCGGTCAGTATATTTCTGCATGTTCTTACCCTTGCTTAATGCAATATGGCTGATTCAGTTTAAGGCTGGCACCAAACTGACATCAGATGTAAACAAATTAGAGTCTTGAGAATGATCAAGAGCCTTAGGGTTATAGCGTTGGTAAAAAAAACTACCAATTCCCGTGGTTTTGTAAGTTTGCGTCACACACCCCTGTTCATTCCGCCGTCTTTTGTGATTCCCCGCATACGTGCTTCTGTTTGCCTCACATTTCGCTTGTTCGTGAGGCACCGTATGGATCCTTCGCTTTGAACTGACCAGCCTTGATTGATAGAATGTCAGCCTTTTCTGCATAGCTTGTGTATACGCCCTGATTTGAACTATTCGGTTGATTTGTACTCACGGACTCTTGGATGCCGGTTTGGCTTGCAGCGAGTAACATTGTATTGTACACCGATTGCCGTTCGTGTTCTCACTATCGTTAGTAGGCGGAAGCAGTCGTGGAGCCGACACAACACTTGGAAGATGGCATACATCTCTTAAACAAAGATCAGCACCACTGAGGACACGGTTTTCTTTCTGCTTCCTTTAGACCACAAGAGCAGGGACAGTTGATGCGAAGATGGATTAGCGAAGGCCCTCTAAGTCCATGGACTCGGGTACTGATATGGTCAACCGTAGTACATTATCATAACACGCTAGTCGCTGTGCGTAGATCGGACGTTCGCAATCTGTAAGTGACCTGTGGTTGCAATTTCTCTAAATGATGCTAGGGAGGATGATGAAATTCGCAACTATCTCTACTCAGTGCTACTAGTCCAATACGATTGCTGTATAACACTGTTTTGTGCTGAAATTCCGTGCTTCTCCTGCACGTTTCCCTGTTTATCCTCTGATCATATTCGTGACGTCCCAGCTTCGTAACCTGTTAGTATTGAGATGTCTCTGGATGGACCTAGTTGCACGCACGGTGCTACGAGAAATAATAAAAGACACATGACACAATGTTTCCAATGGTTCTGCCACTCTAACAATAATGGTTGTCTTCGCGCCTAGAGACTGACCAGGTCAACTCGACGGTGTCCATTTCCCGACATGTCCTTAATTAGCGAAAACGTGAAAATTTTGTGGCTCTCTGCAGCTTTTCCTAAGACATTACAACTCGTGTTCTGCCATGGCGTTGCTTAAAACTATAACGGTTTATCGTCCGTTCACCGCCTCTGAACGCATGCAACACTTTGGATTAGGGGTTTATGCAACCATCCAACTGCTGACACAGGCATGCGGTCCGTTCCGCGCTGACATGCACGCTAGACTTGCCCTCGAGACCCAGCACGTTTCAAAGGCATTTGGCATGGCTTATTCACGCCAGCTGTTAGTGCGCTGCTTGCTAGAAGCACGATCGCTTATTCCGTTGCGATACTGCAGTTGGAGCACCGTTTTAGTGCGTGATTTAGTGTAGGTCAAGGTGATCTCCACGTGTGCCAGCTTTACCGCCAGAAGCCGTGACTTTGGTCTCATCGTGAATGTTATACAACTCTTCAGGGTTTTCATAGGCAAACAAAAAGACCAACGTGAAGCTTCGCTTTTTAACCTACCTGCGAAAGTTTACTGTTCTCCGCGTACTCGTCACACAACGACGATTCTCCCTTTGAGATGTGTGGTAAGGAGACGAAAACTGGTAGATGCATAAATTTCGTGTTGTCTCCTCAGTACACGTATGTATCAGCTACGGGTGCGACCGAAAAGTTCGAGATGCAACTTGAATGACAGAAGTCCCAGCCTATGTCCATGGTATCTAAGCTGAAAAATAATGGTTTCGGGCACATTAAACTGGCTTCTTTGTTCGCATATGTAATCAGCCACCTGGTTTAGCCTAGTTATGCCACGTCCAAAGAACACATGATCTTATCGGACACGTTAATATTATCCATGCCATTGGTAATTGGGTATGTATCGTCAGGACTTTTGTGATTAGCCACTTGTTACATCCGCAGAAGGATCTTCACTAGCCAGGGAGTCAGTTTAGTGTGCAGCGCATCCATCATGATGGAGTTGGCTTAAGTGGCATCGTTCTCGTGCGTTTTCTTTGACCAATACAGCTTCGGAGTAGTGCTGCCACTAAGTCAGGAAACGGAGTTTGTGCCGAGTCGAAACGCCTCCTATCCACATATTCCTCAACACGGCGAAACCTATACAGTATAAAACTTGCCTTAGTCAGCGTTTGTAACAGAATACATTGGCTGGACGGTCTACTAATTAAAACCGGGAGTTCCTTAACAGTCACCTTCCAAAATTTGTTCATTTAGGTCCTAGTTAAGGCAATTCCAACCTCCTTTTGAGCCAAGTACTTTGATCAAATTTTCACTTTCCGACAACCAGTGGCGGTCACCAGGCTCGCCAATTTTCCCCAGTTTCGCGCAACTTCGTCGCAGACTCCATCAAGGAGTGTTCCCATCTGGAAACTCACAATGCGGGCGCTGATTTGCTGTATGTTGGAAAATCATTTGACCTGGATTATGCGGACGGTATCGTCCAGCTGCTTGACAAACCCGAGACAGCACGGTCATTTCTGGATAATTCTTTTGGAGCTGTGCATTCACTGGCATTTGGCTCACGCCTTCAAAGTGTAGACTGTTGTTGTATGACCACCAGCCTTTCGATAACTCTTCGACTGTTGACAATAGGAAATTAAAAGTAGGCGAGTAGGCGTAAAGCATTCCCAGCTTGTCTCACATTGCCCTGCAGCAAGTTGTTGAAGTAGTCATCTTTGAATAGCTATCAAATCTGAGGACCCGAGAAAACACCCTTTTAATTTTTGCGTCGCTGATTCGTGGGAAGCTTTTATGCAGTGCTCCGAACGCTGGCGAAGTCCGGTCCATGGCCTTCTCGAAGTTCTTCATCAAACCGAGTTTGATGTGTAGGGGTGGTAGAATGATTTTGTGAGCCTTGACCAGACCTGGGTGATAGATATTCTTCTCTCTAGCTGTTCAAATCTGTCTACTAGTCCCCTTCTTTTGCAAGTAGTTCAAGTCACTCTGCTCGACTATCCCACTCGCACGAGAAACCTCAGTATTTTATATATCTCCGTTGCAGTTCCATTAAAATGGCAAATTTCTCCAAGTCACTACGGAGATATCAGCTGTAGTTGTTATGCTAAATGGAATTCAACCACTGCTTTATCACATTCCTCTTTCATTGAAACAACATATGCTACTGGAATAAATGGAAGGTGGCTCCCATTATGCAACAGCATCGCCTTAAGTTTACGTTTGGAAGCGTTTACTACTAGGCTCCATTGTTGTGGGTTATGCGTTATTTCTTAGGTATTCATGAGGCCACCAATCTCGGAACACATTATCTTCCTTTCTGAAGAAGGGCCACAACTGCTGGTAGTGCTTTCCATATGAAGTAATTCTAACACCTATAAGAAGATTTCATTGTTGAGCTTGTACCTAGAACTTCTGCCTTGTTCTTGGATAAGTCTAAATCACGAACAAGGTAATTTAACTCTTCCAGTGTGACTCTGTGTTGGGTTGATAATGCATGGTGACGAAAATTTGGATCACTGCATGCTGATGAGCAACGCGATGAACTGACCGGCTCTCCCTTGTTCTCACCAGATGAGCCCGGAGGATATTCTGGTTTTATACAGCACAATGCTGACGTCAGAATACCACACCAGCAGCATGGCAGTAGCACTGCGATGCATCAGAGCGTCATGCTATAAACGCTGCATGACATATGCATGATGGCATCATGGAATGTGATGCTGTTTGGTTGTGGCTGGGATACTAGTCCGTAATCTATGACACCTTAGAGCCGTGTCAACTACGAGACAGTATAGAACTTGGAGGCGACTGAACCCAACGTGTATTGTGCAAGCTACAAAAATAGGAAGCGAATCAACCAGAGCGAGAAACGGTGCAGCAAGGTGCACACCAAAACAATTTTTGTCGACGGAAGTATCGTCAGTGAAACAAGTGGACGTTTTGAAGGTTAAAACAACGGTAAAATCAAATGTTGCGAAGTACTGAAAGGACGTGTTTCCCGGTACACTACAAGGGCCTCCCCCTTGAAAGCTGAAGGATGGAAGCCTTCCATGGACGCGTCAGTGTGGGAAAACAGAAAGTGAGGATGGGTGCGACTAGGTGCATTGGCTTGAACAAGGGCTTCCAAGATGGGGTGTGTAGCAGAGTTCGTTGCGTCCAGTCTTTTGTTATAAATTATTTATGATGATCTTGTGGACCAGAGTGCATCATCGTTGGGTCGTCGGGGCGGGCTGGTCGGACGGCAAAAAAACTGGTTAGTCCAGAGAAAAGGCTGACAGGACATTTCCTCCGCCGCAGACCCGACGGTACGTTTGGGAGGTATCACTCCCCCAACTGCACTCCAGTCCACGGTCGTCGTCCCACGAAGAAATCCAGCCTCCTCATCGGCAACGCCTAGCTAGGCTTTTACGGACCAACCCGTTCGTGGCCGTCCGCGGCCGTCCGCGGCCGGGGGGGACTGATTGTTCCTTGGGTCAGGAAGGGGGCCTTGGGTCTGCTGTCGAGTCACTTCGGGGTTGCGTTGAGCCGGTTGGTGACTCACTCGAAGATTGCCTTGGCAGTTCCGGTGGTTGAGTTTCTGGAAGGTAGAACTCAGTGGGGGTGGGCAAGGGTCCGAGGAATTGGCTTGACACCGGAGAGGGAACATGGCATGCATGATCAAAGCAAATACGCTTTATAGGCTTTTAAAATGTTTCAGACTTTTTGTCCAGTTTGCAAAACGTTCATGGATGAGACGCACGATTACCACTAAAGACGAAAAGGGTATGTTAATGGAAATAGCAAACGTTTACAAAACCTGAAAAAGGGACCGGACTTTTGACCCGTCTACCGCCTCGGTCGGTTGTCTGGGGTTGAGGCGGTATAAGTTGGGAGTCAAGGGGAACGGAGGGTTTCGGGATATCCGGTGCTCGAGAAGTCACCGCAGGTACCGGTGCTTGTGTGATAGCGTCAGGACGGGTTGCAAGTGGTTCGTTAAAGAAAGCCATTATGAGGCGGTCGATGGACACGGTTGCATCGGTGGCCATTCTGGTCTAAAATGAAATGTTTCGGAGTCCGCTGCAAAACTCTGCAAACGCCACTGTACGGAGGCTGGAGATGGCGCCGCACTGCGTCGGTGCGGAGGAAGACGTGAGTACATGTAGAGAGTCCCCCTGTGCATTCGCACATCTTTAGTCGGCTAACAAGGAGGACTCGGGCGTAGTGAACGCATGCTTTGAGCTAAGGAAGACGCAAAGTTAGGCGGAGGCATACCCGACGATGCGGGAGGCGAAACAAATTCTCCTGCCAACTTTAGCGTTGTGCTGTAAACCAGCTCTGCTGGTGCACATTGCAACTCAGCATTGATGCTGCTGTGAATGCCTAAGAATACGATCATAACCTTTTCGCTCCAGCTAGGCTCGGAGGAGGCGCAGAGCGACGATCCTAGCTGTCTTGGGAAGCGTTCAACTAACCCGTTGGCTGCTGGGTGATACGCTGTGGTACGAATGGGACGACAGCCTAAAAAGTTGCAGAACTTATCGAATTATGCAGATTCAAAAGGCGTTTCTCGGTTCATCACAATGAGGCTGGACCTTACCGTGGTGCGATGGTTTGTGTGCCTCAGCGATCCATTGAGCTATGCTGCGTGGTGCTTTTGCACCTTCAGAGTCACTCATACCAGATTGGTCAATGGTTAGAGGCCAGACAAACTCAGCCTCCTGGTCCTCCAGGTTGGGGCTTGGAATGAGGGTGGCACCTTATTCCTTAAAGCGGACTCATTGCAACCCAACACCAAACCCGCTGCCTTGCGGTCAGGTTTTTGAACCAAAGGCTTTGGTTGAGAACCCTAATCGTTCTTTTGTCTAGGCCTGGACAGCTTGACAGCATCCTGCCCACGCAATACCATGAATCTTACCTCAAACAAATTGCTGATGCTCTGGCCACCGCAGAGGATAATCAACAGTGCCCTATCTGCTGCATCGAGCAGGGTGGATAGGGGTTTGGATGCTACTGCTCAAGCCTTCCCGTCTTCTTATTCCCCATCTTACGCTTTTTCACTCTTACCGTCCCATTCCAACTTCACTTATATCCCCCCCAGTTTGCAACCCCCCGATTCTTGGCCCTCCCCCAACATGCTTTGCTGGGCGTTTATCTTCCAATTTCAACTCACATGTGAACGCGCAGCGTCACTCCTCTCCTGTCGACAAGCCCATGTCCAACCAAGCGGTCCATTCCAGTTCATCGGCTTCCATTTGGAATGCTCGATCCTCCTTCAGATTGGCATGCCTTAATGTACGCACACTACTACAGATCGGTCAACAGGCAGCACTTGCCCGAACATTGGAGACCCTCTCGCTCGATACATGCTGCTTATCAGAGACCCGCTTGCAAGACTCGAGCTCTGTGCTCACTCTGCGATCCCCTTCAGGTGACGCAAGCAGTATTTTCTCAGTACGCTTATCCAATGACGATGCAACTTCGAGCACTGGCCAAGCTGGTGTTGGCATTGCCCTGAGTCCCCGGGCTGAAGCTGCTCTGGTTGATTGGATTCCAATCGGTAGCCGGATGTGTGCGGTCCGATTGGCTCGCTCTATTAAAGCTTCAAAGACTCGCGGGACTAATAGGTGTCTATTCATCATCGCTGCCTACGCGCCCACAAACTGTAGCGATGATTCGGTAAAGAACGACTTCTACCGCCAACTGACTCAGCTCCTTCGCCACAGAAGAAGCACGGACACTGTTGTGCTGGCGGGGGATATGAACGCACAAGTTGGAAAGTTGTCCACTGATGAAATGCATCTGGGCGGTCAGCACGGTGTAGGCTCCCGTAATGATAACGGTGAGCGGTTACTTCATTTGTGTGAAGATGCTCGCTTATTACTTGCGAGCACTAATTTCCGACACAGCACCCGCCGGAGGGTGACTTAGCGCCCACCAGCCTCGAACCATCCTTGGACGCAGATCGATCACATTGCTATCAGTTACCACTGCAGAGGCTGCATCCAGAATGGTCGCTCGGTTTGGAGCACATGTGTGGACACCGATCATGCACTTGTATGTGCTGACATACGGATGCGCTTTGGCGGGCGCCCACGACGATGCTGTGAGCGTATTGACACCAGCCAACTGTTCTGAATGCCCATAAAAGTACGCTGACATGCGAGTTGAGTAATCGCTCACTGGAGACAATTGTTGGTCACTGGTCACATGTTCGCCAGACCTTACTAGCAGCGGGCAAATCCTCATGTGGTATGTCTAAAAGCCAACATGGACATTGGGTCTCTTCTCGGTCTCTGGAACTTATCGACGCTCGCCGGCATATACCGGCTGGAATCGAGCACAATGAAACTCGCAAAGAGCTCCGGGCAAAACTCCGCCGTAGCCTGAAGTGAGACCGGGAATCTTGGTGGTCTCATCATGCGTCAGAGATGGAAGTGGCCGCTGCCCTTGGCAACCATCGTAAGTTATTCCGTATGATACGGGAAACGGACAGCAGGAGACCTGGTGTTAGTGAAACAATTTGTGATGAGAGTGGACAGCCTATCCACAATTTGTCAAAACGTTTGGAGCGTTGGGCTGAGCATTTTGAAAAGCAATTTAATCGGCTAGAATTATTCGATTCTTCGCCGGCGAGTGATCGCCCTGCTCCGTGGGCTGTCCCTTTGGATCC